GGTCTAAATGCAAGGTGAACAATTAAAACACTCACTTTGAAATCAAACACTTCTAATATAAATAAAGAATGTCCTAATTGAACAACTATGACATACAAGCTTTTTTTACACAAACCGTGAATCCAAAACATAAATAAGTTAACAGTTTAAAAGCATAAAGTCCATAAACTTATAAAAGTAAGAATGTGAAGTGTTGGACATTGTTTTACATACTTTGAACATGTTCGGCTGGGTAGGGTTACCTCGGGTTCATAGTCCATAAACTTATAAAAGTAAGAATTTGAAGTGTTGGACATTGTTTTACATACTTTGAACATGTTCGGCTGGGTAGGGTTACCCCGGGTTCATGTAACCCCACCCCGCGCCCCTACCCGCGCAGTGCGAGTTAGGCATAATTAAAACTAAAAATTAAATAAAAAATTAAAAATCTGTGATTTTCGAGTAGGATCGGCTCGGTTCGGCCGGGTTCGTCGGGTTTGGGGTGATTTCTTACAGTCGTAACACCAACAACAACACCTTCGTCCCCAAGATGATATGTCTATTGATTACATACTTGACATAATCTATCAAAGTATAATAGAGTACAATAATAGAAATTTTGAAACCATCAACAAACAGTTAAAACTCACTAGACCACTCAGAGAAATAAAGGACAACATGGCACGTCTAGCACAACAACATCATGAGGACATGTCACAGCCACAGTCAGAGCCTGAAGAACAACCGGAACCACAGGTTCAGCCATGGCCTGAGGAACAACCGGATCCACAGGTTCAGTCAGAGCCAGAGTCTAAACCTAATAATGAAAAGCGATTTAAAATGCTCAATAAGTATGTAGAGTCGCCTTACACAGATCTCCTGCGTAAGGTGATGAAGAAGATGTTGACTTATAAAGATACTGTTGAGGCCTTCAAAAAGTGGTTCGCTAATACAAATACAGACTCTGAGCTCATCGAGTGCGATTTTAATGACTAGAAGGACTTCTTCCGGGTCATCTTAAAGCAAAGTGAATGACTGTATAGTGAAGTAAGTAATCACAATATATTTTTAAAATTTACAGTCATGTTTTTCATACCATTAGCATTATACTGAATTCATTTTGTATGACTTACAGTAAATTGACGAAGCATAGGGCCATCTATCAATAAGAATGTCACAGATTAACGAAGTTGAGTTCATTGACAATATTATCATCCTGGACGATGTATTCTGCCAGAAATCGAGAGAGCGATTCTTTGCTAATAAATCAAAATTGACAGAGTATACATTTGACAGTGACCTGGATGAATATGTCAATGGACAAAAGTGCATAATTGGAAAGAAATTGAATAACGCGCAAGGCTTCACAATGCCTCTTAACATTGATGATAAGCATTGGGCTGCCCTTTATGTTAATTTATCTTAAATCAACATAAAGGTGTATAACTGCAATGTAAAGATGTACAAAGATCAGCAGATGCAAAAATATGTGGAGTCTATATCTGCCATGCTGTTCAAATTTTTAAAGTACACAGGTTTATTTAATCATCTGGGCGTTAAACTCGACGGTGCGTGGCAATTCATTCGTCCCAAGTCGTTGGTTCACAACCTCAAAACGAGTGATTGCGAACTTTTCACATACAAATTTATCAAATACCTTGTCCGCAAAATCCCCTTAGAAGAACCCGTTGAAGAACAAATAGAAACGTATAAGTTGGAGCTTACAATCGGAATTTAGAGCGAGTACATGCTTAAAAGGTCCGTGACTTATATATAAAAATGTATATGAACATGATATAATTAAAAACATTATTTTAATTGTAAAATGTATATAAAAATATTATTTTGCTTATAAAATGTACAATGTTGTAATACTTGTAAAATGTATATAAAAATATTATTAAAATATAAAAAAACCATCAAGTGAGAAATATCTCATTCATAAAAGAGGAAAAAAAACATTATTAAAAAATGAAGAAAAAAAATCAATTTATAAAAATGTATGATTAAACATGATATAAAATAAAACCAGATCACTAACAGAATGACCAGACCAACCAAACACGATCAAAACAAGAACGAACCACACCAAACTAAAAAAAATACCACAAACTGACCACACTTGACCGTGACCAGACCATGATGATTTTGTTCATTTTTTGGAAAGCTTCAAATCTGTCCCAAACAGTGGAGAAATATCTCATTTATAAAAGAAAAAAAAAGCGTTATTAAAATATGAAAAACCTTCAATTTATAAAAAAATATATATATATAATTAAACATGATATAAAACAAGAAAAGACCACTAATTCTGTCCCAAACAGTGGAGAAATATCTCATTTATAAAAGAAAAAAAAAGCGTTATTAAAATATGAAAAACCTTCAATTTATAAAAAAAAAATATATATATAATTAAACATGATATAAAACAAGAAAAAACCACTAATAGAATGATCAGACCAAGAACAGAATAACCAGACCAAAAACAGACAAACCGAACACAATCAGAACAAGAACGGACCACACCAAACCAAAAATAAACCACGAACCGACCACACTTAACCGTGACCAGACCATGATGATTTTGTTGATTTTTTAGAAAGCTTCATACTTGTCCCAAACAATAGAGAAATATCAATGATCTAAAATTTATAAACCGACCACTTGATCAACAATAGATCAAGAATAGATCAAAAACAGACTAAGAACAGACCACACTTGACCGTGACCAGACCATGATGATTTTGTTGATTTTTTTGGAAAACTTCATACCTGTCCCAAACAATAAAGAAATATCAATGATCTACAATTTATAAACCGACCACATTTGATCAAGAATAGATCAAGAGGCAATAACAGACCAGGAACAGACCCAAAACAAACTTTAAAAAAATCCTTTTAATATATTTTTTTGATTTTTTCGATATGAAGACATTACTTTATCAATATATTGATATAACAAAATAATAAATTTATAATAAGGGTTTAATTAAACGTGATACGTAAAAAGTTAAAACATAATTGTACATATTATGTAAGACATCGTGTATAAAATAAAGTTATGTTATGATAGATATAATAAACTAAATTGTAAAAATTAATAAGTATTCAATTCAATATCAGTGATATACATTAACGTCATAAATCAATTATCTAAAATTTATAAACTGATCACACTTGACTAAGAATAGACCAAGAATAGACCAAAAACAGACGAAGAACAGACCCAAAACAAAATTTTAAAAAAAATCCTTTTAATATATTTTTAAATTTTTTCAATTCATGATCAGTTCGTAGTCTGTTATTGGTCTATTCTTGGTATGTTCATGATCGGTTCGTAATCTGTTCTTGGTCTATTCTTGGCATGTTCATGGTCGGTTTGTAGCCTCACATTCTAGTTGTCTGTTCGTGTTATTCTATTAGTCTGTTTGTGGTTTGTTCTCATTATAATTGTCTGTTAGTGATCTGTTCTCATTCTAATGGTCTCTTCGTGGCTTCTTTTGGTCTGTTTGTGGTTTGTTCTCATTCTAATGGTCTATTTGTGTTCTTTTCATGATCTATTTATGGTCTGTTCTCATTCTAATAATAGTATGTTCTCATTCTAATAGTGGTCTGTTTGTGGTATGTTCTCATTCTAATGGTCTATTCGTGGTCTCGTGGTCATGGTCTGCTCGTGATCTGGTGGTCATGGTCTGTTCTTACACTAATGTGTTCTATTCTAAAAATTTAAGCAGCATTTCCTCATAATTATAAACTTCCATAAAGCCAAAATAACATGTTGAATATAATAAGTATAAAAACATTACAATGCCAATAATAATATTTCAATTGTCAAAAACAATATTGTTTTTTTCATGAGCACATCGGTACGTTTTTACATTTCTTCTGATAGTGTCCATATTGCCCACACCTAGCGCATCAGTTCTGCCTTCGTGTGAACTCACTTACGCTAGGAATGCGTTTTTATTTTGACCGACCCCTTTTTGGTACAACACGTGGTGGTAGAATGTGCGACAACGAGGACTTCAGAAGAGGAGAGAAGAAATGGAAGGCGGCTGAGAAAAGAAAATGGAGCGAAATGGAAGAGGAGGAAGATAAAGAAACCCTTAAAAACATACTTGCTGACGTGGAATGGCTGATGTGAATGTTGACCTATTTAGTCTTTTTTTTTTTTTGTGGTTTATTTACTTAAGAACACTTTTTACTTGGTCTATTTATCCAAAGGACCCCGGCTCTATGGAGAAAGAGAAGTTTAGGGTTGCTCGAGAGAGAGACTTGGGCTAAGTTAGGGTTGCTCTTGAGAGAGAGAGACTTAGGCCAAATATCAGTTGGGCCCAAAATTTTAACAACCCAATTTTAATATGCCATTTCAAGTCATTAAAAATAAATAAATAAAAAAAACCCTATACCAACCTCTTTTTTGCGGTCTTTCCCTCTCATCTCTCCTTCTTCACATCAACAACCAGACCAACCGCATAAGGGGAAAAAAAAGATTGTTCAGTCTTTTTTACGCATCTAGCAGTGATATAAATTTGTCCTTTTTGTGGATTGAGTAGTTAAATTTCTTATTTCTAATGATTATTGAGTATGAATTTAGTTTTTCATTACTATTATTATTTTTTTATTATTTTATTGACATTTTTAGAGGTTTATGCCTCAAAGTGCCTCGAGGCGTATTTAGGCAAAATGCCTCAAGGCCCGATTCCACCTTTTAAAACCTTGAATAGATGTGCATTGGAACATCAAACGCACCAAAATCAACCAGTTCACAAGTTTCAATTCAATCTAGAATGCAACGATCTGGTCAAAGAAAATCAAAATACTTGATGAAGCAGACACCAATGACATTTATAACTGATAAGACTAGAATATAAATACAGAAAATCTTCCCATTACGAGATCAACCAGTTCACTAGTTTCAATTCAAACTGGAATGAAACGATCAGGTCAAAAAAAAATTAATATACTTGATGAAACAGACCTAAGTGCCAGTGTTCCCAACAAATATCTCATGTGTTAAGTTGTGATTATCTAGCTTGCTTCCTGAAAACTTATGTTCTTTTTTTTATTTAAAAAATTTGGGATTTCTCTTCTAATGACTAATACTAATTGAGTTGAATCTTTTCAAACTGTTGGGACACATCAAGTGGATTAAGTTGGGAATAACTTACTTCAAGAACTTGTTGCTCGACAGTTCTGTCATCACCAGCAGCTCGGCCTCCTACACAAGTAAGATACTGCATGAACAGTTTGGTAGTTTCAGTTTTTCCAGCCCCACTTTCTCCACTGACCAGTATAGATTGGCTTCGATCATCATTCATCATCGCCCTGGATTACAAAATCAAGTGTAAATTGTGATGCTTGGAATAGCCATATATAACAAAGGACGTCATTCAGCTTGAAACTGAGTAACATTTAAATTTGACAGACCTATACGACGCATCAGCTACGGCAAAGACATGAGGACTCAGCGCACCGAACGGAGCTCCCTTATACTGCTCCATCATATGCGCATTGTATAAATGAGGAAGCTGTGTGAATGGATTTACAGCAATCAAAACACTTCCTGTGTATGTCTACCAAAGACAAAATACTTCACATTAACCATCATTGCAAGCCCCTTATAATTAATATGGGCAACAATTACAAGTGAGACTAAGTCAGTGACTAAAAAACTTTCCAAACATTACTTCACATCATCTAACAACAACAGAGTATTAACGGCATTACCGATTAGAAGTTCAGAACACAGAATAAACGCAAACGAAAAAAAAAAATCACTAACATGTATGTCATTGAGGGCGTATCACTTATAAAAGTTGTAAAGAACCCCAGGCTCATTCAAATACGTCAATTTCGTCATGCCGTCAACTCCGCCGTGCGCTTCCTCATCCGCATCCCGCGGAAACAGCTTCTCCGGGGAAGCCAAAACCTAAGAACAATCGCACCACGAACCAAAACAATTCTCATATCCCATTTCTCATACCTCAAAGCTAGGGTTTTTAGTTTTTAGGAACAAACGCTATATTAAAAATAAAGAAACACCGAATTAAACAAAGAAATTACTTTCTCGGGAAAAAACAAAGAAATCAAGAAAACGAGAAAGCCAAAAAAAATAAAAGAAAGAAAAGTCAATCAGTTTCGTAACCAATATCGCCGCCGCGCTTGGCGGAGCTGCAATCGGAGTAGTGGGAGGCGATGACATCGAACTTGGCCTCGCCGGAGACGATGTCGTCACGGAGGGACTTGAGCTGAGAGACGGCGGCGTCGCGAGTGGTGTTGGAGATTACACGGCCTTCGGGATCCTTCCACGAGGGCTTGCACCACGAACGGCGCCGTATCTCCATGGCGTCGTCGATCTGAGACGAACGAGATGAGGTCCGCGCATGGCCCGATGGAGAGAGAGCAGAGAGAGGGGCGGCGAGAAGTGAAAAGAAGTTTTAGAGAGATAGTAGGGTTTGAATTTAAAATATGTGATCAAAATATCTCGGGTATTTTATGCCTCGTTCATTACATTAATTAAAATTTTTAATTTTAATTTTATTACAGTTAAAAATTTTTATAAAAAGTCATATCTAATTATTTTTACTACAATTAAAAAGGGAGAAAGAGAAAAATAAGTTAAGATTTGAGATGAATTAAAATTAATAGACTAATAGTTTACATAAGTTAATAAATAGGCCAAATTACTGTTTTCGTTCATAATTTATCTGGTTATAAACCATAACTTGACAAATTATTGTCCTTAATTGTCCATAACTTGTCTAGCTATGAACCATAACTTTACAAGTTTGTCCATAACTTATCTGATTATGAACCATAACTTGACAAGTTATGGCCTATTAATTTCTATAACTAAAAATTGGCCTATATACTTTCTTAAGCTTTTCATATTGGCTTATTTTCTTCTATTTCTCAATTAAAAATTATCACATAAATTCACATCTTAACTTAAATTAAAAACTCAAATAAGCGAACTGAACGATGACTTAGGCCCCGTTCACTTCACCGATTCGAGTTTAGAATTCGAGTTTTGCTACAGTAAAAAGCTCTAAAAAACAGTCACATCTAACTTTTTTGCTACAGTAAAAAGCTCTCACATAAAGTCACATCTCAACTCGAATTAAAAACTCGAATCAGCGAACTAAACGGGCCCTTAGTCTTTTAGGCCCGTTCATTTTACCGATTTAAGTTTAGAAGTCGAGTTTTACTATAGTAAAAAGTTCTGAAAAACAGTCACATCTAACTTTTTTACTACAGTAAAAAACTCTCCCATAAAATTACATAAAAATTTAAATTAACGAATTAAACAGGCCATTAGTATGTGGTCAAAAAGTTTAACTAAAGTTAAAAGGGTAGAATTTTTTAAAGAAGCATTTTTATTTTAGTCTGTTGAGTAGGATATGTAATTCTTTTTTTTTTTGGCCCAAAAAATTGTAATCAAAATTAAATAAATAAACATACAAAAAATGAATGAATGAAATGAGAAAAGGAATAAAAGGATCACATAATTACACCAAATGGGATATTTTCTAAATTAGCATTAGAATGTTTTTTAAATTAATTATAAATTTAAAAAAATGATTAAAATACGACATGTGACATGAATTGTCACTCTTATCTCTCTTATCTCTCTCTCTATCTCTCGCCATGGCATTCGTGGGTCGCGACGAGGCTAGGGTCGCCGCAAGCCCATCTATGAACCAGATTCGATGTTGTGAGAGTCCGCCGCACAAGCACCAGAGGGTGGTCATAGTTTTGTTTTTATTTTTATGTTTTTGTTTATTCATTTTGTTTTAGTATTTAATCATTTTTATATATCAAATTAGAATTTAGTGGCTTTAATTTGTTTTTAATGAAGGTTACATCAGCAGAACCGTTAGTCTTGTGCACAGATTTAGACGGAATGATTATTTTAAACTATTTGCTATAAATCATTTTAAAAAAATATAGGATATTAGTTCAGAACTATTTATAAAAATAATCATTTTCTTTTCCCTAAATACGAATAGCATTTTTGACATCCATATCCAGGCCTAGTAGATACTACTGACAGTACTTGCATTTTCCCTACTGAAAAAGTGTCAAGAGTTTGAGAGAATTTCAATCCTACCACTAATAATGGTGGACATTTTCCCTTATGAGAGAAGGGTACTTTCGACATTTTGGTTTTATTCAAATCTTGTTTAGACCCTTCTTAAGCTGGATGGACCCCACACACACTCTCCCTAGCATGTCTCTCTATCGTAATCATCGACCACCAAAACGTGTCTGAAAAATTCAACGCGTTCACAAACACGTGGGATATTGCCAAGAAAAAGAATCAAATCTACTCAAAGCCAAATAAAAGCCACCGGAACTAGAAGTTACGGAACCGTCAATCAGACAGTACAGAACAAAAATACGATATAGGTGTCTGCTTTTTGATAAAAGTACGGAAAATGCGAAAAGACATTACTAACGTCAAATATTTCTACTGTTGATAGAAGATGGACAGTAGTATATTCACGGGATTCAATATATGTTTATTTTACAATTTAATTTAAAATTTTAAATTATGTATGTGAAAGAAAAATATTAAAATTTATTTAGACTTCGTTCACTTCGCGGATTTGAGTTTTTAATTCAAGTTGAGATGTGATATTTTCTGAAAATTTTTTACTGTAGCAGAAAAAGTTAGATGTGACATTTTCTGAGAGCTTTTTTACTGTAAAAACCTAAAGCTGAAAACTCGAATCGGTGAAATGGACGAGGCCTTAGTTTATGCTTTTAATTTAGTAATTATTGATTTTAATATTTTAAATTTAAATTTTTTATGAGAGAAAAATACTATAACAGAATCAAAATTATGAATTTAAACGCATGAAACAAACGGTCCATAATAAAAACGTTGAATTTGAATTTTATCAAAAAAAAACACTGTAATAATAGAACTTAAGTTGTTATTTGAGTTTTAAAAAAATTGAGGCCTCATTTTTATATTAGTGGAGCATCGACTCCGTTTGGTACCTAGATTCGTTCCCTGATTCGAATCATAGTCCGTGGTTCGCTGCAGTATTTTCTCTCATAAAAAATACACGTAAATAAAAAATGATTCTAATCACATGATTTGAATCCATGAACCAAACGCGTATATTCTAAAAGAATTATTAGGATTGTCTCATCCTCATTATAATCAGTGGCTGAGTCATGATTTTATTTTAGGGAATATAAATTAAGAATATAAAAAATGTTAAATACCGTCAAAATTTTGAGTCATAATACTATCAACTAGTTGTTTTAGCAAAAAATAATACTATTAACTATTTGGATTTTTTTTTTTTTTTTATGAATTGGAAGCACGTATTATATATACACGTACAAAATCAGTGTATTGTATTTTTGACGCGTGAACATACAAACTCTGTGAAGAGTATATTTATTTTTCTTTTGAATTTGTTATTCTTTTAAGTAATTAGTTTAATTAAAAATTGACCGTATTTTTAGTTAAATATAATATATGTGTAGACGAATAAGACATAGTTAAGTAATAAAGATTTTAGTGAGTGAATTAAATATAAAATTATTTAAAAGTTAGAGATGAGAAAATAATAGTTGAGAGTGCTACAAGAAGAAAAAACATTACTTAAATACGTTTGAAAATAAATATTACTTTAACAAGAGTAAACTAGATAAAAAACATTTATAGAGAGACTTGTGTGAAATAAAAATGTTTAAGTAGGATAGTATTTGAGATTTTAACGAGTCATTTTGATTTTTTTATTTATTTTTTATCACCTCTGATTTTATAAAGACATATCAAATTAGATTTTGTGGAGACTCTTGATTAATACTATTTTAATAATATATTATATTAGTTAAAGAGATATTAATTAAGAATAAATAGTAAAAATCTAGACATTTGCATATCTAAAAATAAGATCAATAATTTTCTCAAAAGTTAAATACATAAATATTGCCTCTCAAAGTCAAAATGTGATCTCATCACGAAACTTTTTATATCTTGGATTAAACATAATTATATACAACATGTATTTTAATGACTGTCAATTTTTTTTCATAAGATTGTGATCGTATTTATTTTCTAAAATTAGTTGTGGCACCCGTTTTAAATTTAGTTGTGCACCCGTTTTGTCCTTTTGTATATTACGATTATCATTATTATAAATTTGTTATATTTAGGATAATAACCACATTTGCGTATTGTACGTAAATATTTTCAACATTTTTAAACTTTTATCCTTTTTTTTATGATACATAAAGATGCAATATTTGTCAGCATGTTCCCTGATTATCATAGAGTTTTCATTGTTCGGTGTCATTGGTTATTGTTGGAGTGATTTTTTTTTTCCCCTCAAATAAACTGCAAAGACATTTCCAATCTCCAACACTCACATTAAGACTTTGAAGACAGTCTGGATTAGCTTAAAAAAAGTTGTTTTTAGCTTACTTAGTATAAAAATCGCTTTTAAATTTATTTAGATGGATAATTTTAAAGTGTCTTTAGTTTTTTTAAGCACTTTTAGAATAAATTATTTCTTTAATGCTTATGAAACGTTTTTTTATTTACATTTTTAACCTTTTATTTATAAACAACAAATTAAATATCCATTCATATTCTTTTATTACATTACTTTTTATAATAATAAGTGTTTTTAACTTTTTTATCAAAACATGTTCAAAAGTTATTCTTAGATTTAAAAGCACTTTTTATGCACTATCTAAACACTAATTAAAAAGCCTTAACTTATACTTATATTCTTCTACTACTTAAAAGTACAAGCACAAATTATCTTAAACGGGTCCAGAATTCTAATGGAAATACGACTAGGTTTCCAGGTAATATTTTGTGATATTGACGTGAATCAAAAAATTAAATAATTAAAGAAAAATTCATAAACTAATTTTAAAAATGTGGGTATATATGTAAAATATGCTGCAAAATCTTTCTTTTGTGGATTATGCATACGTTTGAATATTTTAAAAATGATGGTTTTACTTACACACTTATTTTTACTCTCCACACTCCCTTTTAAAACACACACCCTACATAATTTTAACAGGGTTAAATTTACTTTGCACACACCCCTATTATTTTAAAATTACCCAAACTACTTTCATAGAATTATTAATTTTTGATCATTTTTCTTTTTACACAAGAAGTTTATTTTAATTTTTTATTTTAACATTATCATTTCCACATCCTCTTATTTTTCAGTTGAAACTTTAGGCATGACGCTTCTTTTGTATGAGAAGAAATTTATTAATATATTTTTTTTAGAAAAAATAAAGGACACTAAAAAATATAAAATAGAGAAAGCAATATAATTCAAGAAATAAAAAAATATAAAAAGCATGACAACAAAGTTATTATATTATTGAGGGAGGATTAAAAATATAAAATGAAAAAAATAAATAATAAATAAACGAGCATAAAAAGGAACAAAATGGAAAAGAAAAATTCAAGTTCATAATAAACGAAAAAAATAAAACAAAATAATTTATCCTTTCAAAAATAAAATAATTAGAAAAATAAAAAATATTAACACAAAACAAAAAAATGTAAAAGAACAATCACTATAGAACAAATAACAAAGAAAATTTGACATACCTCTATGTAATTTTTTGAATAGTTATTGAATGGAAAAAACTATAAAAGCTTTATCATAGATTTCAAAATAGTACTTGTTTGTAATTTGAGAATATGACATATTGGGTATGTGAAGGGAAAAAAATAAAATATTATTATTTTTTTATAATAAAATTTAATTATGTAATTAAGTCTATTATAATAGTTTTTTTTTGTCATTTTACATGAGAATCTTTGCTAATAAGAAATTATAATTACAAAAGGGTGTGGAGAGTAAAAAAAGGTGTGCGAATGGAACCACCATTTTAAAAATCATTTGGATTTTCACTACTTAAATTATGAGTCCTATATCTCTAAAAATCACACTTTCATTTGGATTTTCATGGAATTAATACATATATTTAAAAATCATAGTTGTATATCACAAATAATCACGTAAACATGTTTTAGAGTGTTTAAAACATGTAAATAACTCACTTAGGTTTACATTTTTGTCTGAAGATGGCTTATTATATGTCCATTTTAAGGTAAATATAACATAATTTACATCTGAGCGTAACGCTACCGATTACACGTATTTATTTACATGTCTTACAAACAGTATTAATGTATTTTGCAGCTAGCTCCTTAAATTTGGAATGTGAACAGTTAATTTCTTAGATCTACTGACATTTAAAGTAATAACTTTTGGTCACATTGACCTTGATGGATTAGAAGTTTTGAACAATTTTCTTAATTAGCTCCATACAAGTTTCGAAACAATCATTTGTGTTTGTGCAAAAAATTAATGATAATTGAAGCAAATCATAATTATTAAATCATGACATTGTCCTATATTAGGTACTCACATACATATTTTTGAAGTCTGTAAGAGAAGTCTCGTTCATTTCACCGATTCGAGTTTAGAATTCAAATTTTGCTACAATAAAAGCTCTAAAAAATAGTCACATCTAACTTTTTTGCTACAGTAAAAAGTTCTCACATAAAATTACATCTCAACTTGAATCAACAAACTAAAAAGGTCCTCAATTAGCTTCACCGCACCATGCACTCTTTATAATACATCTTTCATGCGATCCGATCGTTAGAGCAAAACAACTATTTTTTTTTTAATTAATTAGTTACCAAAATAGGATTAATTCTCTTCTAATAAACCATCATCGAAGGTAAGATTCGATCCCAAATAGTAGGATTTCAACTTAAAAGATTTTACTATCTATACTACTTGGCACAAAAAAAGTAGTGAAATTTTAAATGACCCTTTAAAAGTAATAGCTTACTTAGGCTCACATTTTTAACTAAAAGCGGTTTATAATATCCTTATTTTTGACTAAATTTAACATATAAATATTTATATCTCTCGACGTAAAGTTACTGATTCCACGTGTTTGCATGTCCTCAAATGGTGTTAGCATATTTTGCAACAAGCTCACTAATTTTGGAATTTAAGCAATTAATTTCTTAATTTTATTGACATTTCAAGCAATCACTTTTGATTACATCGATCGATTAGAAGTTTTAAATAATTTTCTTAATTAACTTCACACGAGTTTAGAAAATCAATGAACATTGAGACAAATCACAATTATTAAGCATACTAAGCATGGTATTATCCTTATTAGGTATTTATTAATCTTTCTAAACCTACATAATTTTTGAAATTTGTAAGAATTAATTAGCTTCGTAGCACCTTTCAAACATGCATCCTTTCTAACATATCTTCGACCATCAGATAGAGCGAAAAAAAGTCATTGTTGTTTGATTAGTTAGTTACTAAAATAGAATCAACTCTCTTTTAATAAACCGTCATTGAAGGTAAGATTCGAGCCTAAATATTTGGATTTCAATAATCTCTACTACTTGACACACACAAAAAAAAAAAAAAAAAATTTGTCACTTTTCCTTAATACTAGTTTTGTAACGTATTTTTTTGTACGCGCTCGAGTCACCTAAAAGTTTATTATTTACTAAATAATGAAAAATATATTAATACAATCATTTAAGGATTTTTGAGTTTATTTTAAAAAAAAGTGTGTAAAAATAACAATTGACAAAAAAAACTTTAAATAGAAATACTTTTTAAAAAAATTATTTTAACGAATTAACAATAAAATAAGAATACATGTGAAAAATTACTCTTATAAGAGTAAAGTGAAGAATACTATATTTTTAGAAAACACAGAAGAAATTAAAATGTAAAAAAAAAAATAAAGATAAAAAAAAACAAAAGAGATAAATAAAGAAGCTGTCAGATTGTCTGTCCATAAAAAAAATACTTTTACCTTTTATGCATTATTAGATATATAGTAAAAATCAAATATTAATGTCACTTTTCCTTCTTAGTGAACTAATTTATTAGAGGTCTGTTTATTTTGTTGATTTAAATTTTTAATTTGAATTAAAATGTGATTTTATGTGAATTTTTTTATTATAGTAAAAAGTTTAAATGTGATTGTTTCTAAGAGCTTTTTACTGTGACAAAACTCAAATTCTAAATTCAAATCAGTGAAATAAATGGGGCCTAATATATTCTTTAAAAAGAGAAATTTGGCCAAAATTTAATAGAAAATACTTTTCCAATACAAATTATAAATTTTCCAAATATAAATATAAAATTTTATAAAAGAAAATAAAAACCAGATGCGTCATAGAATTGTTTCTACTTTCTAGTCTCCGGTTTTAATAAGGGGACGTTTAGAAAGAAAATTCGTGCCATGAGTCGAATCATGATTTATGATTCACTACAGTATTTTTTTTTTTACAAAAAATACACATAAAATAAAAATGATTCTGAATCTATGAGATGTTTGGTTCATGGATTAGATCATGTGATTAAAATCATTTTTAATTTACGTGTATTTTTTATGAGAGAAAATACTATAACAAATTATGAACTATGATTCAAATCATAATTTGAATCCTCCAACCAAACGTCTCCTGAACCAATCGTGCTATAAATATTTCAAAATTTTCTACTACACGTGGAATACAGGTTAAAAGAAAAAAAAAACAAAAATAACGAAAATTTCCTTCACCTACAAATCTCTCCTTTTCCTTTCAAAAAAAAAAAAAACTCTCTTCCTCTCTCTCCCCCTTTAAAAGGACCGAGTAAATATATAGCCAAAGCTCTGTCCTGTTTACCTTTCTCTAGGAAGAGAGAGAAAGTTCATACTTTGAAGAGAGAGAAAGAGATCTGACTCTGTTTTTCTCTTTCTTTTCGGATATTTATACATTTCTTCGTTTTCTCTCTGGATTTCTTCCTAAACCCCCAGCGAAGAATTGACGACTCCTTCAATTCCACAGGTAAACCAGAAAAAAGAAGTCTTTTTCTTCTCTCTCTCTCTCTCTCTCTCTCTCTCTCTCTCTCTCTTTCTTGTTTCACGATCCGCCATTTTCCTTTCTGTTTGTTTCTTTTGTTTTCCTCCAATCTTTAATTTTTTGAAAGGCTTTTGATTTCTTATTGCTTAATTGATCTCGATCAAATGTGTTTTTGTTTTGTTTCCCCTTTTATTTTGGTTTTTCCATTTGATTTGTTTCCTGTATTGTGAATTCGTGATTGAGGTGTTAAAAATGTTTAGATTTGCCTTCTTGTTCTTCTGCATGTTTCGAATTTTTGATTTTTTAATTGTTTGATTGTGGACATATCCGATGCATCTTTGTAGTTAATGGAGTAGCTGGATTTTCAATTTTGAAGCTTGTTTTTCCTCGCTGATTATTTTTTTCAATTAAAGTTGCATTTGGCTTCTTTTTTGTTTTTTGAATTAAGGATCGATGAAGTTTGCTCATGCACTGAAAAGCAGCAGCTGAATTTGATGTAGAAAATTAGAACATTTGACATTTTTTTTTTTGGGTTTTTAGGATTTTGATTGAAAGATCTGTCTTGAAAAATTGAAATTTGGGGATTTTCTCAATCTTTTATTAGCACGAATTCATTTCTCATTTCTGAGCAGGATTGCATTGGAGTTTTGTGTGTGTGTGTGTGTGTCTGTATATATAGATATATATACTTTTTGCTGTGAATATATATATTTCTATTTGGCATGAATGGTTTTTCTCTTTTCGAGAGGATTGCAATTGCATTGAACTGATTGATCTTTTATTTTATTTAGTTTTGTATATGATGATATGCGTTGGGTTTTCTTTAGCTACTATTGGCATGAATGAATTTTTTAACTTTGTTCAAGATTGCATTGGACTGGTTTGGTATTTTCATGATCTGGGTTTCTCTATCTTTTTCTTTTTCTTTTTTTTTTTTTTTTTTGGCATGAATTTGTTTTTCCTTCTTGAACAGGTTTGCATCGTGAGATTGTTCTTTAGGGGTAAACCATGGGCGTTGAAGTTGCGGGATTTGAGATGGTTCAAGGACCAGTGGAGACTGCAACTGTTGGAGACAATTCTGTTTTGCATGAGAAGGAAAATGGAAAACTGGATCAAGGTATGAGGTCTCACGAACCGATACAGTTCGGATCCCATGGTGAAGAACCTGTCAAAGAAGAGCAGAATGGCGTTTCGGAAGTTAAACTTCCAAAAGATGCAGTTGATGAGTGGCCTGCACCGAAGCAGATCCATTATTTCTATTTTATCAGGTGTCGGCCGTATGATGATCCCAAAATAAAAGCCAAGATTGACCAGGCTGCTATAGAGATTGAGAAGAGGACTCAAGCCCGGATTAAGATCACAGATCAGTTAAAGGCAAAAAGGGTGAGTTTGAGGTTCTTTAACATTACTGAAAGATTAGCTTTTGCTCTATTGTGTGGCTCTGTTGTGTGTGTTTGTGTGCCCCTTAGCTCTGTGACAGGTGTAGCATTAGAGTTGAGGCCTTAAAAGCAGGTACTTGATAAACTAGTATTTTGCAAGAACTTGAAAAGGTTTTATCGTAATTGTGCATGCAAAAAATCAATTGCTTTCGATTTCAAATGTTATCTGTAAAAAAGGAAGAGAAATGCCGTGTTGGCATGGCATGTGTAATCAAGTAGAAATGCACCAATAATAAGGTGAAACCGTTTTTTAAGTCCGGATGCAGGTTGCGCTACCTAGTCTTCACTCTTCAGTTATCATTTTGAATAAATGTTTGTCATCATATTTATGTTTAATGTATGTGAGGAACTGGACATTCACCGGTTGGACGTATGGTAAACCATATGTGATGAATATAACATTGAACTTTTTGCAACCCCTGCTTAATATATCATAATACTTACTCTTTTCAAGGACCATAGAGATTGATTGTGTGTAAAAAGGAGATGAAGAAGGTTATGGTTACTAGTTGTTTTAAAGCCCTTTGAACAATATTTTTTATTTTAGAGTTAACTAACCAAGATGCACATGTTCGTTATTCTTATAAGCTTTGCTTTTGATTAAATTAAACTTCTTTTGTTCGTTTTTCTTTTTTTTGGTTTTTTTTTTTTTTTTTTTTTTTGGGGGGGGGGGGGGGGGTAATCAAGCGCAATTTCCTATTCACATGACGTGGACATACCTGATGTCGATTTTATGTTTTTCATTGCATGTTGGAAGCAGTGTTTAAAATTGCGCAATCGATTGCGTGCCTTGAGGTGCGCCTCAGCAAGAGGCGTTCACAACTCAAAATCAGGCTTAAGCCTCACAAGGGAGATAAGAAGTGTACGCCTCTGTCAACTGAGGTGGGCCTTGAGGCTAGCCTCAGGGCGTAATCTGAGGCTAATGCCTCATATATATATATTCATATATTCTGTTGGGCTGAAGTAGATTAAGAGGTCTAAAGCATAAATAAGTGAAATCAGAAAAAACCGAGCTCAAAAACTGTTTTTTGTTTTTTTTTTGGTTGACAAAACCACTAAATCCGATTAAAACCCTACAAAAAGGGAGTGCTGCTACTACCTGCTGAAATTACCTTTGTTTCGACAGGCTGGTTAAGTCTTTTTCTTCTTAAACTACTGTTCTCAGTTAAATAATAAAAATTATTACTTCTTAATGACAGGATATATGGTTTGTGAACCTGAAAACATACTAATTTCTTTATTTATATATATTTTTAAAAAAGTTAGAGGCTTACGCCTCGCCTCACAAAAAGAAAACGCCTCAGTACCCAGTTGCCCAATTTTAAACCTTGGTTGGTAGGAAAGTATCAATTTTTATTATTCTTTTTAATGAAATGTTTGGTATCTTCCTACTTTATTCACAATAGCATTTAGCTTGGGGAAGGCCAGTTATGTTGTTCTTGGAAATATGATTGATGTCCAGTTGATTAGTGGGATTATCAATTACTTTGTTGTATCATACTGTGGAAGAATTCATTCGGTGGTCTGAGCATTATGTGGAAAGATCCATAATGCTGGATGTTCAAGGCCATCCTTCAAAATCTTTATCTCACTTTAATTTTCTTGTTCTTTTTACAATGAAATTCAATACTCGAAGAATTTTATCTCACTCTGCCTCTCTCTCCTTTTGCAGTCCGATCGAGCAGAGTTAATCTCACAGATTAGGGCTCTGAAAGATGACAACAGGCAGATTAGGACAATTGTAGATGAGAAAATAAAGGAGATTGAACCACTGCATCAGGCTTTGGGCAAGCTTCGCAATGCAAACAATGCGACTCGGGGTGTATGTTCATCTGAGGAAGAGCTTAACAGCCTTGTATGTTTCAATCTAAGCCTTCATATGTGTGAATACCTCAATTTGTTTTGTTTGATGTGATTTTTTTGCCATCCTTTATGCTTTCTGATTTTGGACTTGGGGATACAGATCCATAGCTTGCAGTACCGCATACAACATGAAAGCATTCCATTGTCTGAGGAAAAGCAAATCCTTCGAGAGATCAAGCAGCTTGAGAGCACAAGGGAAAAAGTTGTTGCTAATGCTGCTATGAGAGCAAAGATTCAGGAATCAATGGTCCAAAAAGAAGTGCTTCAAGACCAAGTCAAAGTAAGGGTTTTGAAATTGTAATTTAAACTTTTTTGGTTTGTTGTTTCGTGGATTTTCTCTCTTTCTGGGGTAGTTGATTGTGAATTCTCATTTTGCATGATGTGACAAGATATTACACTTACTAAATTATGGAATTGTAGCTCATAGGGGGTGATTTAGATGGAGTGAGAAAGGAGCAACAAACTGTTAGGGCCAAAATTAAGCAGCTTGAGGATGCGCTAAAGGTGATAGACAAGGACATCTCATCATTACAGGATGAGCTGACAGCTATTTCTGAGAAGAGAGATAAAGCACGTGAAATCATTCAGCAGCTCAGAAAAGAGCGAGATGACGGGGTATGTTTGATTTGTGTAGTGTTTTTCTTTCCCTTTCTGACTTGTTTTTCTATTGTCTCTCTGTGTTGACCTAGAACATGAACAAGGTTTAGTTGCATAGTGTGACACATGACAAGCTCAATTTACCTTTCAGTGAAAATTGTGAATACTATGATTATGTTAGGTTTTTGATAATGTCAAATTGCTTGCTTTGCTTGGTTCAAAGCTTAAAGCTAATGAATAGAAACTTTTGGGGCACCTTATTTTGTTACTTCTTTCCTGTGGACTTGATATTTATGTCTTTGCTGAATTCTTAATGATCTCTCTTCACTTTTCTTTGTTTCTCTTATTTAAGATTTTTGAACTTCGGCATTTCTTGGCATTTGTTTTGGGATATTCTGACGTTTTCCTTTTTTTTTTCTTCGCCCCCATTCCTGTTATTGGTTGACACGTTTCCTAAAAGCTTAAAAGTGTTGATGTTGCAAGACCGTTACTGTGTTGAATTTCACGTATCTTGTTGCATTGAGAGTTTAAAGTATATAAAATTGTAAGCATCAGCTATATGAAAGATGATCACCTGATATTTATGTATAGTTTAGCATAATGAAATCTTTATTTATATAGAGTTTATTGTGCTTCCCAGAATTCCTACTTCTACCAAAGCCGTTCGGTCTTGAACAGGGCTAGAGATCTTGCAGCTAAGAAAGATATTCAGGCTCTTGAGGATCTATCTAACTTGGAGGTTCGTGAAATTATTTATTGTCTATCAAAAGCTTTGAACCCACTCAATTATTTTTTTAATACTTTTCCTCAAACTTTTTACTTTTATTTTTTTTTTTTCAGTTTGAGAAATTTATGTCCCTTTGGAGCAGTACCAAGTCATTTAGGGATGATTATGAGAAAAGAATACTGCCATCTTTGGATAGTCGGCAATTGAGTAGGGATGGGCGAATGAGAAACCCTGATGAAAAGCCATTGGTGGCACCGGAAGATTCTGCACCTGTGGAATCAGAGACCGTGGCAAAAGCTCTTCCAAAGCGAGCAAAGGAAGATCCGAAACCCCCTCAAGTAGATGCTTTGCCTGCTCAGAAGGTTCAGAAAGAGGTGAAAAATAAGTCAACGAATTCGAAACCTGCTGTGGACCATACTGATGTGGCAGAGGAGGTACCTGGGCCTGAAAAGCTGCCAATCGAAACTCCTAAAAAGAAGGATAACGAAATTGATGCTGCTAAGTTGAAGGAGATCAAGAGAGAAGAGGAAATCACAAAAGCTAAGCAGGCGATGGAACGGAAGAAAAAATTGGCAGAGAAAGCTGCGGCCAAAGCAGCTATAAGAGCTCAAAAAGAGGCTGAAAAGAAGAACAAGGAAATTATTAATTTTGTTTGTTTATTTGTCTGTTGTTTGATGTTCTTGCTCTTGCCTAGTATCTGACATGTTTTGCCTATTCTACTTGCCTCAGGAGCGCGAAAGGAAATTGAAGAAGAAGGCTGCAGCAACTGCACCTGATGCCAATTCAGAAGAATTGGCGGAGCAGGTTTCAGAAGATGCGGAACCAGAAAAGGAAAATGAAAATGTTGAAGCTCCAGCTACAGCTCCGGCGAAGGTAAAGGTGCAAAAGGAGACAAGTATCAGGTCGAGGGGTCGCCCGAGAGGCCCCGACTCCATCCCGAAAGCCATCCTGAAGCGGAAAAAGCCTACCAACTATTGGGTATGGGCTGTTCCTGCTGCTGCTGCTGCTGTGTTAATCGCGGTGTTTGTCGCATTTGGATACCGCTATCTACTCTGAACAAGTGAAAGTGTAACCAAAGTAGAAGAGTTATGAAACCAATCTTTTCTGCTTTTTAAAGCTGGTGAGACTTTAACCTGTTATAGTGGAATTTAAGTTATTACTGTTCTTTGCAGCCTGTCGTAGGATGGACTCGAAACTCATAAGTTGGTGGTAGCTTTTAGTCAGTCCAAAATGTTCACCGAGTTAGAGACCACATACCCTTTTTGTTTGGTTGAATGTATTTTTTTTTAAAGTTTGACTTGGTTAATTTTCATGGATGTTATTTGCGGCCTCGACTTTGTTTCTTTTATAGAAAAAATTTCTTTCTTTTTCTTTTTTTTACTTTTTTTTACTTTTTTTTCCCGAATTGGTGACTTAATCAAGGATTTTCTCACGATGAGAATTGAAACACCATCCCTTTGTCAGATTCGGCCTAAATGTGTCGAAGGTAGCAGAACATAGCCCATAGGAGATCAAGGGAAAGGAACTGGGGTTAGCATATTTTGCCTCGTTTTGAAGAATTGGCTCTTATATGTTGAATATGGTTTGAAGCACGCGCTACGCGTGCATATTCAATATATGAAGATCTAAAATGTCTTTAAAATTTAGGTTTTATTTTTTATTTATTATTGTCGTAAAGGTTTAAAACTTGGTGAAAAAGAAAATATTTAAGTAGAGTACACCTGAAAGGAAAAAAATGTTTTTACTTCCACAAATTAGAATTTGAATTATTTATTGGGTCTGTACGAAAAAAAAAGTTTGGGTAGGGAATACCTGAATTGATATAATGCACAGTTCTTTTTTAATGGAAAATTTTAATAATAAATTAACAAATTACACAAATAGTCGTAAATGATCACAATTTATAGGGAAAGTGACCGCAACTTATAGGGGAATTCGATCCTAGACGTTGATGGATCTATCAGTAAAGACGGATGAAGTACAAGGACAAACACAGGTGTTGAGATCCAATAAAAAAAGACCTGTTCGGCACAAACAAAATCGAGTGCGACTAATGCTCACTAATAAAAACTACAGTTGATGGATAGAATCAATTATAAAATCCCTAATATTAGGAACACAAGGGACACAACTTAAAAATAAATTTGGGTGTAAATAAACACACACACCGTCAATAACTAACTTAGACAGGTGGGACGCGGACAAATTAGATTGTGAGGAAACTACTTCTATTATTACAAAATATAAACTTAGCGAAAATAATACCTTTTAAAAAATATAAACCGGAGGAAACAACGCTTTTTAAAAAGACCAATTACTTTTTTGAAGGATGAGTTTTGCACTTTTTTCAATTGACGTGCTGTAACTCTAAAAAGGAGATAAAATTGAGCTCCACAAGTCTACTAAACATAAGATTTCAAAAAAGGTCAGAGAAGTTTATGCCTTTAAATGTTTAGACTGTTTTTCATAAGATCTCTTCAAGAAAGAAAACTATTTTTAAGAAATAAATTCCGCTTAATTAAGAGTATTTTTGTCTTTTGATTTTGTTTTTTCCCCAATATATGAGTGAGGAGTGAATTGCAATAAGTTTTTCAAATTAGAAGGAAAAATGAGATAAATATCTTTTAAAAGTACACGGGTCAAGATTTCTATCCCTTTATTATTGATTAAAAATCTTTTTAATTAAATAACTATACTAATAAAAATGTATTAATCAAGAAGGAGGAGTAAAAATCTAAATCTATACACTTTTAAGAGGAAATTTTACAATCTTCTCATTTTTTTTAGAATTGTTTCTAAAAATAGATGGACAAACTTTGAAAAAAAAAATTAGAAGATATATTTACGTGATTATTGGTTAAAACCAGATCATTGACCTAGTTTAACTCAATCCTACCGTGTATTGATCTTGAGTTTTTTTTTTCTTTTTTTTTTTGGGGGTTAAAGAGTAGCCTAAAGAGTAATTTAAGCCTCATTTAGTTCGTCAATTCGAGTTTGAGTTAAGATGTGACATTATGTGAAAACTTTTAATGTAATAAAAAAAATTAAATCTAACTTTTTTTAAAATTTTTTTAATTATAACAAAATTAAAATTAAAAACTCAAATCGGTGAAAGAACGGAGTCTTATCCTTAATCCTTAAAAGGAAAGAAAAAAGAAAAACCTAAAGAGTAGTCATCCTCCATTGCCGCCCTTTTCTCTATATGTTCCTCACACGCTCGCCTGTGCGCACGAGCACGGGAACACCCAGGAGACGTTTGGTTCATGGATTAGAATAATGAGATTATAATCTTTTTTGATTTATGTGTATTTTTTATCTATAACAAATTATGAACTATGATTCAAATCAGAGTACGAATCTTCTTACTAAACGTTACACCAGTCTCCGTCAGAGGGGGTGCTACTATAGTTTTTTTTTTTTTTTTTTGTTTTGTTTGAAAAGTAGGGGTATTGACGTTATTCGCTTCAGTCAAGGGGATATCTCTTTAATTTTGGTAAAACACAGGAGTCGTGGTGGAAAATAGACCGTAAATGATCTAATACGACACGTCGCTGGTGTAAATTTGCGAAGAAGACGAACGCGGTAGTAATATCATCATCATCATCAACGTACTATCCAGCCCGGTGGAGAGGACAGTTATGGCCGCCAAAAGCTTAGGAATATTACTACCGACTTTCCTAAGAAGACCATCTCGTGCTTTTCTTCTCTCTATTCACAACAAAAACAGCAACAAACTCAGCAATATCCACTCTTTCTCTCACCATTTCACCCTCGGTTCTCCTCCTCCTATTCTTGGTTCCTCAGGTGCAACATTTTCTCCTTTTTCATATTTGTCCTACTCTCTACTTACATGAATCTTTGAACCCGATCAAGTTTTTAATAAATACCCATTTGGGTGAACTTTGTACTTATTAAGTTTTTAGAGACCAGATAATGAAAGAGAGTGGAAACTGGAAGATTGAGGAAATGAAGGAAAGGTGTTTGTGAAAATGCCAAAGTGAAAATCCCAAAGTGAAAATCTTGTATAAGTACCCAAATAGATTTTTTTTTTGAAACTATGAAAAATGTAAATAAAGTAAAGTGTCTTAGGCCTAATCTGTAGTTGTTAATATAGAAGGGGTTGGGCTTAATATTATAGAATTATTGATTTACCCAAATGAAATTCTATAGTCTAGGTCGAAATCACCAAAACTGAGCTCTCATAGGATAGCCGAACTCAGGTTCCTCATGAGCTCTCATATTTGGCAAAAGTTTGAATAATGCAAATCATCCACAGCTCTATGAGAAATCTAGTTCAAATGATTTTATCTACAGAAGAATGAGTACTTCAAGAAAAGTTGGACCACTGGTTTTTGCCTAGCTTATATGTTGTGATTTGTAATATACTTTCAGGAATATGCCAGTTGGCACATGCTATAAAGGGGGACATTGATGTTTTACTCAATGGAGTGGGAGACAAAAATACTATTGAAGAAGTGAAGCATATTCTAGAAATGGTATTATTACCTTTCCTAAATGAATAACTCTAAGAGTTTCAATTTTTATCCCAACTTTTTATTACCAATGACCTGTTATATGTGAGTTGTCACTTGTCATTCTTTTATTGGTAGGTGTTTAAAAAATTGTCGCGTTAACTAGTATTAAGAAGTTACATCTACCAATGGAAAGATAGCAACTCAACTGCTGTGTGAGTTTGTGTAAAAAACTTGGTGTAGCTCTGTACTTCCTAAATATCTTTTTATTCTTTTACTATTATAAGAGAAATATAACGTTAAGATTGTTTGACCTTTTCGAAAATGAAAGAAGAGCATGTTTCTATGCTTAAAAATGAGATGGTGATTGAAATTTTTTTTGCATGTTGTGCCTCGACCGCAGGCTAGACGGGCTTCATCAAGAAGAGAAGTTTTCCATTCGAATTTTCTCACCCCTCCAGTGTTGAAGGAGTCAATGCTAGCACTGGAAAAGCTAGCCGATGTGAAAGCAGTTGCTCAAGGAGGATATCCACAGGTTTCTTTAGTTTGACCTTTCCAACTTATTCCTTAAATCCTTCTAAATTTTGATTTCTTTAACTACACTTGTTAGAACTGATTGGTCGCTTATTTTTTTCAGAACGGTTGTTTTTTCTCTGAGTTTCAATCGAGTTATCTTGAAGCAATCAATTGCTTCTAAGTTGAATCTGAAATCCCAAGCATTTGTATTCTTGCATTCATCAATATGCTAAATTTTCTAGGCTGAGCGCTGCCGGATTTCTGTTGGGCTACCTGAAGTACTTACTAGTGATCCAGATACAGTTGCAGCATTGAGGTAAAATAAATATTTACGAAAATTCAGGTTCTGACAGTTTCCATCATATCGATACTGTGAGCCTTTTTGGTTATTTATTTATTTATTTTTTTTTCACGGCTATTTTCCAGTATCACAGGAAACTTCGGGTTCCAATCTTGTTCTCATGGTGATTTCCTTGGTGCAATTCTTGGTACAGGGATTGCCAGGGACAGACTAGGAGATATACTTTTGCAGGTGTGTTTTATTATATATATATATATATATTTATATAGGCACACTCTTTTTGTATGGTCCCTCAGAGGGAGGTCCCTTCGACGTAACATGTAGATATGGAAAACGTAGCATTGCAATCATTAAACGTAACATTGATATTAGATAGGTGTAACATAGTTTTTAGATGACTAAATTCCTTGAAGTTACTTCTCTCCAACGTTAATGTAACAATCAATGATTTGCATGCTACGTTTTTCATAACTACATGTTATGTTGGAGAGACCTCCCACTGGAGGAACCGGAGAAAAACCCTATATATATATATATATATTTTAAGAGCAACACTTGAAATCCAACTAGTTTCATTTCCTCTTCCAAGAACTGTTTTCCAATGTAATTCTTTCTTATTCACCAAATATAACCTTATCTGAGATATTCAAAACATTTGTTTAAGAATATAGGAGAACTTTTTTCTTTTTAACGTAAATTATAATGTACTTGAACCAATTTAGAAAAGAACAAAACCATTTTTTAGAATTAGCCCCATTTTTTAGAATTAGCCATATCTCAATATATTGAACCTAGCAGTACCATGTCCTTGGAATTTTTGGATGGTAGGATTTATTTATTGTGTCTGTAAGGCCATATCTCACTTTTATACACAATGGTGTAAAGGTCATTACCCAATGTCCCAATCTATACCTTCGAAATGGTGATAATATCTAGAGTAGTATGTGTTCAGAATGAGAACTATCACAAGCCGTGAGAACATAAAATATTCTTCTTATTATCTATAAAGATCTGAAATATTTGTAAAAATAAGGTTGATATTTAGTTGGAAGTCCATCATGCGTATTTATCTATTTTTGTTTACCAATTTGGTAGTGTATGTTTAAGAACAATAATTTGCTTTGGGGATAAGAAGATTTGAAACGCCTCATCGTAGACTATGCATGTCCTAACTAAGTTGGCATTTTGTAATCTATAAATCCTGTTAAAAGAACAATCTTTTGATCATCTACCATCTCCTTAAAATGAGATATCTTTTGCTTAAATATTGATATTTATTACTATTATTTTTTCCTGCTAGGGGGAAAGGGGAGCTCAGATCGTTATTGACTCGGACCTTGTTGATTTTATCATAGCAGCACTTGACCAGGTATGTCACACTCCGCGGTAGATTCATTCAGTAATTTAATGCAGTAAGATTTCTTACACAAATGTATCTGGGGTTTCACAAGTATCAGAAAATTGCAGTGCTTGTTCTATTAGCAATGATGAAGTTAGTGAGAATTAGAAAATAGTGTATTAGAACAAAGATCTATTTGCTTTCTGTGTATCACTAACCCAATGTATTCCCCATCTTTGTTTCTAAAAAAATTTCTTTCCGCAGGTTGGTAGAGTTCCAGTATCTTGTACAAAGATTCCGTTGTCTGCTCTTGATTATGAACCACCGAGGTCGTAATTCATTTTATCTATCTCTACTTTATTCGATGCGTCACACAACTTTTTTATATTGGACAATCAGGACTCACTAATAAGTTCTGCTTGCAGGACTAAGACATTCAAAACTGTAGAGGCATCACTAAGGGTGGATGCTCTAGCCAGTGCAGGATTTAAAATGTCGCGGTCTAAACTGGTTGACCTAATCAGGTGCAGTCTCTTTTCACATACAAAAACTATCCCTTAATAGCTAATGTATGTCTATTTGAACAAGCTCTGACCTATTTCTATAATTATTTTGATGGGTTAATAGGAAAAACTTCCTCTCTATTTTTATTTTTATTTTTATTTTATTTTTTTTACAAAAACTTTTGTTTTCAAAATTTACAATTTGTTACCATGTAATTTATTTTTTTTTATTTTTTTATTTTTGCAAGTATCTCTCCATGAACAGTCAGATATGAGAATTAATTATAACGTCAGATTACTCTTTTCAACCGTGGGGAGTACTAGATAATACCTATATCCAAACAACTAGTATCAAAAAATTTGGAAAAAGGTTAAAATGTGTTTTGATAATGACAAAAGAAAAGGGAATAAAAGCTCCTAGATTGAAGACAAAAGAACCCTCTTCCCTCGTCTAAAACCACATCTGAAGCGTAAAACTTGGAGAAGAAAAGCATTGCACCAACTGTATTATGTAGCTGTTAAAATACTAAAAACCTTATCTTAGCTAAAACCATTTATCTTAGTCGTGTCTTGTTTCGTGGTTAAATCAATATTTCACGCTCCAATTCTGAATCTAACCATTAGCGGGGGAAGGATTTGCAAGGAAATAAAACTAAATGATGTCTGTAATTTCCAACAACAAAAAGTTAATTGTGAAAAAGAAAAATTTGAAAATGAGGAGATTGTACGGAGTTTTGGCTGCGCAAAGTTTCTTTTGCCATACCTCATTTTTGTGCCCTTGTCTTCTGCAAACTCTGCTAGCAATGTCTTCTAGGACACCTGAATTAGGGATAAATGATAGGATGCTGAAATAAGTTAGGACAAGAAATTCCTCACCATTTGTGACAATGAACCTATGATGATGATGATATCTTTCGCGTGCAGCAACGGGGACGTGCGTGTCAACTGGACCCCTGTTACTAAGAATGGAACTATACTCAAGACGGGTGACATTGTCTCAGTAAGCGGGAAAGGAAGATTGAAGGTGAGTTTCCAGCAAGATTTTGTTAGTCCTTAGTATTGTGACAGTTTGGTCTCCAAACTTCTCTGATTTATTTGTCAGTGAATTTATTTATTTATTTAATTTTTGGAAATTTAATTCGCTAAGCATAAAATTGAAGCATAAAATTGATGATGATTTTAAAATGTAATGGAGATAACCATATATGCCCATCGTGTGATATCTTGAAACTTTATAAATACGATTTTCTCGTTGAATTTTAAAAGATATCATCAATTTTACCTTTAGGGACCAAAACAACAAAAAAAAATATCAAGTTTAAAGACTAGTCGGCTAACAAAAAAAGTCAAATACCAAACTTTTACTTCGTTAAAATTCAGGGACCAATAGCGCCAAAAACTCTTATAAAAAAATTATTGAAAACCCTGCAATGACTTTTAATTGAGCCGCTTTATACTCTTCAATCTCTACAAGTTGATGAATGTAGATGCCTTTATTTGTGTCGATTTCTCATCCATGTTAGTTTTGCCCTCAAATCATATAAAGCGTGTATTTAACATGGTATCTTGGATGTTGTTGATTCAGATAGGAGAAATTAACTCAACAAAAAAGGGAAAGTTTGCAGTTGACCTTATTCGTTACCTGTAATTTTTATGAACAATGTAAATCATATTGATAGAGTTGAAGCCATTTTCCATGAAGTGGGAGATTCTTCATTTTGCAACTCAAATGGTCTCTTGAACATTAACTTAATCTGAAGTTGCGTCAAAAGTTGGCCATCATTTTCGAGCTTTAGAGTCTAGTATATTGAGCTATTATGTATATATAATTGGATATTGGATGCCTTTTGTTTCTAGTGCAAAATATTATGATTAATGTTAATGGTTTTGTTCTTTTGTGAAACTTTTGTTCTAATTAATATTTCCCTCTACGTTTTTTTTTTTTTTTTTTTTTTTTTTTCCAATGCATCTATGAGGGAGAAGGCTCTTTTACTCTACCATTAAGAACTTTATTTTAGCCGTTGGATTAGTTTTTCATCAGTCTAAAATATAGAGTAGAAGCAGTTTTATATCGCGGTGTAAATTTTTGTTGTGGACATGCACAAATTTAATCATTAAAAAACTAATCCAACGATTAAAAATAATAGTGTCTATTAATAGTATAAAAATACATGTCGTACCATAAAAATTTCCTAACGTGTTACGATGCATTGAAATAATACTTAAAAAATCAATTGTTAACCATTTCACAAAAAAGAGAATATATTATTATTTTATAACTCAGAAAGAAAATGTATACCTCATATATTTTGGATATGTGTAAGGTTATATTTTAAATTTTGAAAATTCACATCAAATTTGTACCTCTTTTGAATCAACAATATTGATCCCTCCGACAATGAATTTACCCTTTACGGCTTATTGGATATAATCAAATACCAACTAATAAAGAAAAAAAAAATCATAAAAAGTATTTGTTTAGGCTTTTTTTTTTTAAAAAAAAAATTCGGAATTCTATAGTGTACGTGGTTTATAATTTTATTTTTGGTTTAATCTCGAATTAGCCCCCAAAGAAATAGGGTTTGTATCAATTTACCGCTTATAATTCAAAACTAGCCCACATACTTTTTATATGTCGCAACTTTAGTACTTTCATCAATGAAATGCCATCTTTTTAACATTAATTTTAAGCACATGCGGATCACATGACTATTTTTCAAAGGGTATTATAATAAATTTAAACAAGATAGACTTTAAATTCTTTTTTAAAAAATTGTTGAAAAAATCACAATTTTTTCTTGCTCTAAGTCTAAGTATTGCATTTTCTTTTGCGTGCCGCCGCTGAATGCACCGCTCTCCTATATTTCTTTTACTAACTAGTCATAGGACTCACTTGTGATTAAAATTGTTAAAAAGAAGAGAAATAGTAGAAAATAGGCTAATATGAAAAGCTTAAGAAAGTATATAGGCTAATTTTTAGTTATAAAAATTAATAGGTCATAACTTGTCAAGTTATGTTCATAACCAGATAAGTTATTGATAAACTTGTCAAGTTATGGTTATAGCCAGACAAGTTATGGACAATTATGGACAATAACTTGTCAAGTTATGATTCATGATCAGACTAGTTATGAACGAAAACAGTAATTTGGCCTATTTATTAACTTATGTAAACTATTAACTTATTAATTTTAATTCATCTCAAGTCTTAGCCTATTTTCCTCTTTCTCCCTAAAAAGAAACTAGCGTTTTATTGATAAAAGTACTAAAATTATAACACATGAAAAGTTTAGGGGCCATTTTTGTGCTATTTGGAATTGTAGGGGACAAAGTGAGACAACCCTATTTTCTAGGGGGTCAAAACTGAAATTAAGCATTTATTTACGTATTTATTTATTATGATGACATTTAATTAATGATTTCCAGTTTGTCACAATAATTCCTTTACACCCCATGACGCATAACATGACGATATAACAAGTACGACGAGATGGGAAACCAACAACTAGGACAAATTCAACTATTAAAGGGAAAAAAAAAAAAAAACAAGAAAGGACAAATTGAGGAAAGAGGCAGAAGCCAAAGTACTGGGAAGCCCTACAATATGTTGAGATTGATCAAATTGCTAATACAAATTAGGAAGGTTAGTAACATAAACCTCCCTTTTTTTTTGGGTCTCCAAAAATCAAAATAACGGTGTTTAAAGACAATTTAACCTTTAATTTAAAATTTACCAATTTACTAAAATCTTTAAACTCCAAGACTAATATAGAGAATGATGCAAAGTTTAGAGGTGTCTTTCACTAATTCCATTGATATCATGCATAACCACAATATCCATTCTCACATCTAACCCCACCCTTGCATTTTTTACCGCACTTGCCACAATTGCTAGCGTTCCACAAAACATTGGTGCAAATGCCATTGCAACAATGCTCCCCAAGCCTGCACTTCTGGCCACATCTCCCGCAGTTGTTGCCGTCTCCGAGAACGTTACGACAATGTGCTTTGCAGCAATAGAGTAGGCCGCTCCCTTTGTTCGCCGGCACTCCGTTGCAAATGTTGCGCTTGGAATAGGGATCGCAACGCATGCCTTTCTTTGCAACCCCGGCCAAGAACCAACTTCTTGATTTGAAATTCGGAACCGCGGTGTCGATTATAACGTCGTTTGAGAAAGACATATGAGAGTGTGTTGGTGGTGGTAGTAGTGATAAAGAGAGGGTTAGGGATAGAATTGTTGTGAGGTTGATAAGGAAATAGTTTGCCATTTCTGTTTGAATTTAGGTTTTGTTGCAATGCCACCACTACAACAAGCTAAGGGATCCGCTATTTATATATGCTGCAATATATAAATAAGTTCTAAGATCTAGAATTATTCAGCGAGTTAGGGACACTAATTTTCCATACATTATTTTACATAGCCGAATATCACAACGTAATCATTTGAATTTGCATATTCCTTTAGAGGTCTTTATTTTTTTATAGTCGGTTTTTCAAGTGTTTGAGTTGTATTTGACCTTAATTACTATATTCCAAAATTAATGTCCTTTGTATAAGCGATTGTGTATTGAACAAGTTGATAGGCAGGTTTATACTTGACCTTTTACTTGTGAATGCTGGCTTATTGGCTTGACTTTAGTAATGCTATTATATAGAGCTCTTATATAATACACACACACATCTATAGCTTAACTATTGGGGGCGTTTGGTATGCAGTAATTTTAAGGATGAGAATGAGAATCTGCAATATTACCATGTTTGGTACAAGAATTATAATTTTTAGATTTCCAGGAAAGTGATTACCATGGGATTCACTTTCCCTCATTTTAAGATAATTTGAATACCATCCAACATGGTGTTATTCAAATTCCCAGGAATCTCAAAATCATGAGAATATTATTATTATTATTATTATTATTATTATTGTTATTATTATTATTATTATTATAGTTATTATTATTATTATATTTATTATTATTATTATTATTATTTTTATTAATATTATGGATCTTCTTCCATGCGAACAACCAAACACAGTAATGTAATATTTCTGGGAATTTGAAAAAGATTCATGTATGGTACCAAACACAGTAATGTATTATTCCTAAGAATCATATTATCTTCTATCACTTTCCTGAAAATATAATTCTTACTGATTCCCGCATACCAAACGCCCCCTTGGGTTTTTATGAATTTGTAAATACCTGTAATATAAAACATAATGCATAGTAGAGGAAAAGTTCTCCGAAATATTAATCCCCTTAATATTGACTATGAGTAGGCATCGATTAATTTATCAATCAGTTGAGAATTTGACTTTCAATAGCTAAATTTAATTACTTATGTATGCACGTAGTTGCTAGTGATTTGCTCAAAGTTTTATATGTATTAAGATGCAAGTGATTTGATGTGTTTTTTTTTTATTAGATTTATAACTCCTAAAGGTCGTCAAATATGAACAAAAAAATTTAGGCAGGTAAGGATTGTGACATCAACAAAAAAAAAAAAATAATAATTACCACGTCAATTAATAGAAGAACGTGTACTAAAGATGGAGGGCATTTTTAAAAGAATTCTAAGTTTTATCTTAATTTTATGAATCGATTGTGGCTCTTTTATGACTTTACAAGCACGCCAAATAGAGTACTACTTGTATAGAATTTCTTTATTTTAGGACCCGTTCGGTTCGTTAATTCGAGTTTTTAATTCGAATTGAGATGTGATATTATGTGAGAGCTTTTTACTGTAGCAAAACTCGAATCATCGAAAAAAACGGGGCCAATCTTTCATGAAATCAAATAATTTTTAACTATTTTGGTAATCTTTCAATGAAATTCTCTCTATTCCCTTCACCTGTATTTCCGAACTGAGCTTAAAACAAGCCAAGAAACATTCTACTAAAAAAAGTTGATCTATCGGCAAAATAATAATAATAATAATAATAATAATAAAAGTTGTTACACGTCTTGTATTTTATGAACAACGTGTTTATTTTGCAAATAAACATTAAAGAAAAGCTATATCTACTCACGGGTTTGTGTTTGTGAATCACAAAGTGCCTTTTTGAGCAGAAAGAAAAAAAGGTCAGAAGCCACTTGGTAATTAAGAAAATTAAAAGACAATCAATTATGCCTCAAATCGTTAAGTTAGTAATAAGAAATCATGAAAGTTCACGAGGTCATATCATTTGAAAGTCAACAATTTATATTTATACACCTAATTGAAATTAATCAACATAAGAGGAAATTTGCAAAGACTTAGCTTTTTTTTTTCTTTCTTATTGGAAGACTTTACTTTGCTTTAATGACATCATGTTTATTTATTTATTTAAGAACATTATAGCACTGGAAGTTAGGAGATCAAAGAAAATATATTAGGTATAATTATTTTTTTCGCTAAAGAAAAAAGTTCAAAAAGAGGGCGGCCAATATTAGTATAGCTTTTGTGTGCATAACTGAAGGGGCACCCCAAACACTGATAAAAATATTCTAAGGCCTCGTTTATTTCACCGATTTGAGTTTTTAATTTTAAGTTTCTACAGTAAAAAGTTCTCAGAAAATGTCACATCAACTTTTTCTGCTACAGTAAAAAGTTCTCAGAAAATGTCACATCAACTTTTTCTGCTACAGTGAAAAGCTCTCAGAAAATGTCACATCTCAACTCGAATTAAAAATTTGAATCCACGAAGTGAACGAGGCCTAATGTGCTAACAGTTAGGATTTAAGGGGATGCGGTACCAAGCACTATAAATCAAGTAAAAGAATGGAGCAAACAAATCTTTACATTTAATACCTCTGAAAAGATAATCAAGCACTTAAATTTATGATTTTAAACCTACCGCGATATTCTATTACCGTAAGGTCACGACATTTGTGATATACTAGATATAAGTATAACTGGTTGTGATATTGATCAACACCATCAAATTACCGTATGAATTGGAAACTAAGTATTGGAGTACATGTTGATTATACATTTCCTAAATAAATTTTATTATTCAGATGAATTTTTTTTTCCTAGCACTTTGATTATATAGGGCCCGTTTAGTTCGCTGATTCGAGTTTTTAATTCGAGTTAAGATGTGATTTTATGTGAGAACTTTTTACTGTAGCAAAAAAGTTAGATTTGATTGTTTGTGAGAGCTTTTTACTGTAGCAAAACTCGAATTCTAAACTCGAATCAGCGAAATGAACGGGGCCATAGTTTTTCAAGGTAAGCTTTTTTTAGGTCAAAAAACGACAGTAAAACCTCCAAGAACGACATCAAATGGAAAACAACAAGCAATCATGAAACGACATTTGATATCTAAATACGACATCATCTTGATATAGCCTACCACCTATGTCCAGTCCCCAACGGCTCCACTTCCCATTTTGAATTCAAAATCTGCCCCGCTCCCCTTCTCTCTCTCTCTCTCTCTCTCTCTCTCTCTCTCTCTTCAATGGCGACGAACGCCTATCTCACCACCCCAACGAAAACCCCATCAGACAAATCCCACTCCAGAAGGCGGCAGCACCAATCCTCTGCCATGGCCGATTCCTCCTCTTCTTCCTCGTCCTCCAAGTCTCGTTTCGAGGCCTACAACCGGCTCCAGGCGGCGGCGGTGGCGTTCGGCGAGAAGCTGCCGATTCCGGAGATAGTGGCGCTGGGCGGGCAGTCCGACGGGAAGAGTTCCCTCCTGGAGGCCCTCCTCGGCTTCCGCTTCAACGTCCGCGAGGTCGAGATGGGCACTCGCCGTCCACTCATTCTCCAAATGGTCCACGACCCCTCCGCTCTCGAACCTCGCTGCCGCTTCCAGGTCTTCTATCCCTAACCCCTATATGATATCTGTTGTTTCATTTTATCTGCAATTTTTTCCATTCCGCTGTGAATTTGTAAACAGAGTTTTGGGGGGAATTTTAGGGTTTCTATGGATTTTACTTGCTCTGTTCGGCGGTGTGATTCCGTAGCTTCGTTTTTTGGATTTCTCTCTCTGTTTTTTTTTTTTTGGCTCTGATTGTTGATTTCTTGATCGGGATTTTAATTTTATTAAGAGTTTTTTCTTTGACATTTATATCAAATTTCCACAAATTATTTACACTAATTCGATTTTGTTATTTGGTTCAAGTATGTGTGTATTATTATTATTATTATTAAAATTATTGAATTTAGTTGAAGTACAAGCTTTCCCAGTTCCACATGATGTTAAACTGAATAGAGGAGATGATTATTCAGCTAAAAAAAAAAAAATAGAGTAGATGATGGACAAAGATGAAAACTAACCTGTTGTTTGGTTTTGGATTTCTAATGGAATTGGGTTTCATTAAACTGGGGAAAACCGAAAACATGAGTTTGGAAGTGTTCGTCTCGTTTTGGTAATTGAACCTAGGTCAAAGGGAAAAAATGGAGTGAACCATTTTTTTTTTTTTTTTGCCTTGAGTCTTATGTTTCTATGACGCATGCGCTTTTAATCTACTTGGTTAAAGTGGTCTCATTTGGTAGGATTGCATTTGGAGAATACAGTTAAAAAATCACAATCGCCTTGTTTTTCTGGTTTTGCGAATTTCAAACAATTGGGATCTTCAATTTAACTAAAAAACTTATTTTTATTGTGAGATTTGTCACATACATGTTGTACACTTATATTATTGTGCCTTCTTGAGTTTATAGTAGAATCACAAAAATTGTTGGCTTTTAAACTGGTATGAGCAGGAGGAGGATTCTGAAGAATATGGTAGTCCAGTTATTCTGGCTTCTGCTATTGCAGACATCATAAAGTCTCGAACTGACGCGCTTTTAAAGAAAACTAAAACTGCAGTTTCTTCCAAGCCAATTGTGATGAGAGCTGAATATGCACATTGTCCTAACCTCACCATCATTGACACTCCAGGTTTTGTTCTCAAGGTGAGATTTTTTTTTTTTTTTGGGGGTACAAATTTGGAATGTAAATCTCTCAGACTCAATCCTGTACATTTTGTTTTAACGTAGTCTTTGATATTGGTTGGTTATTTAACATGGTATTAGAAGCCCTGGTTTTCTGTGGGGATTTTTTGATCTTACAAGTAAAATATTTAAATTGTTGTTGGCAGGCAAAGAAGGGAGAACCTGAAAATACGCCTGATGAAATTCTTTCGATGGTTAAGTCATTGGGTAGCCCTCCGCATCGCATCCTATTGTTTCTTCAACAAAGTAGCGTGGAGTGGTGCTCATCACTATGGCTGGATGCCATTCGTGACATTGACCCGGCTTTTAGGCGCACTATGATCGTTGTATCGAAATTTGATAATCGTCTCAAGGTATAAATTTATCCAAGTACATCATATAAGATAGATAAGAAAATGATTTTTTGTTTTTTTTACTAGATTGAAGTAAGTTTAGCTGTTTGCTATTTGCAGTAGTCTTACGGCCATTTGGTCCGTAGATTTGAATTGAAAGTTTAAATAGAAATTCAAATTTTTTGTGAGAGACCACTGTAGCAAAAAGGTTTGAAATGTGATTCGCAGCTATGAACCAAATGGTTAGTTATCTTAGTGACAGTTTTGGAACGATTATTCATTAGTAAGTGATAAAATCAGTCAAGAAAATTGTTCGGCGTAGTGATTCTAGCATAAATGATTTCCGCTATAGTAGATTTTGATGGGCAGATGTTTGAAATGTAGGAGTTTACTGACCGATGGGAAGTGGATCGATATTTAAGTGTAAGTGGTTACCTCGGCGACAACATTCACCCATATTTTGTTGCACTACCTAAGGATCGGAACACCATTTCAAATGATGAATTTCGTCGGCAAATATCTCAAGTCGACACAGAAGTCCTTCGTCATCTGCGTGAAGGTGTCAAGGGAGGATTTGATGAAGAAAAGTTTAAGCCATATATTGGTTTTGGTCGTCTGAGAGAATATTTAGAGTCTGAACTTCAAAAGAGATACAAAGAAGCTGCACCAGCAACACTTGCGTTGCTTGAGCAGCGCTGCAGTGAAGTCAGTATTGAACTTGCCAGAATGGACTCCAAAATACAGGCCACTTCTGATGTTGCTCAGCTTAGGAGATTTGCAATGTTGTATGCTGCTTCTATAAGCAATCACGTGGTAAGAAAATAATGTGATACCATTACAAATCATATAACTTTAAAGATGTCTTTCTTTTCATTGGGAGCACGATAACCTCCTCGCACCAAATAAAATGATATTTTCAAAAGTTCTAAAAAGAGGGAAAATAAGACCATTCTTAACTCTTCCCGTGCCTCTTGCAGTATGTCACCTATAAATCATCACCTCTTTTAACTCGGAAACATTTCTATGAAAGAAAAAAAAAAAGATTATTGAAAATGGTGTAACATCTAATCTGAGATTCAGTTTCATGAGTTGTATTTTATATTCGGTGCTTGAGAAAGTTTGATGCATAACATGTTTAATTGATTCAAAATGGTCTTTATTCTTTCTTATTGGTGAAGGGAGCACTGATTGATGGAGCAGCAGATCCTGCTCCAGAGCAGTGGGGAAAAACGACAGCCGAGGAACAATATGAAAGTAGTATTGGGGCTTGGCCGGGTGTTACTGAAGATGTAAAGCCTCCTAATGCTACTCTTCGGCTATATGGGGGAGCTGCATTTGAAAGGGTAATGCATGAATTTCGGTGTGCTGCTTATTCTATTGAATGCCCCCCAGTATCCAGGGAGAAGGTATGAATACTGGTCAAGTAATTTAGAAGGAAATAGTTGATTTTGATGATGTGTTAGCTGGTAAATTTCTGGTTGTCTTTTTAACAGGTTGCAAATATATTACTTGCCCATGCTAGCCGAGGTGGGGGTACAGGAGCAACGCAGGCAGCGGCAGAAATTGCACGTGCGGCTGCGAGATCATGGCTTGCGCCTCTTCTAGATACTGCTTGTGATCGGCTTGCTTTTGTTTTAGGGAATCTCTTTGATCTCGCCCTAGAAAGAAATCGCGACCGTGACACGGAATGTAAGAATCTCAGGCCTTGTTCTTTTCACAACTCAAGGGAATCTCAGGCTTGCTTTTGTTCTTGGGAATCTCTGTGATTTTGAGTTGTGAAAAGAACACACATTCAATGATCCTTCTTTTTCAAATAAAATTCTTGACTAAGCTATTAAAACCCCTAATTTATTTCATTTACGTAACACAATTCTACTTAGACTACTTTCTCTTCCCTCTTTTAGCTGATTTTACTTCATTGGCCAAAATATATGCACATATATAATATATATTATTATCAGTAAACGAGTACATTGTTGAATTTGGTTACATATGATTTTCAAATGTTTATTGGGTTTATCATGTATGTGTACATTTAACTACTAGTTTCCTCTTAGACCAATTATGTTACTGGTGTAACTTATAATCCTTTGCGGTATCCATGGTCAGATGATAAGGTAAGATTCCAACATCAATCTTTTCTTCGTGTGGAAGAAAACGTTTTATTTTCTGCGGAGGGAGGTGTGATTGACCACTTCGATACTAATAATTCAAATCCTCAACTAAACTAACTGCTCATCATTTGCCTCTCCAATAACTTTCATATTGGCTCTAATTCTTGGTAATGCAGTATGTTGTTTCCATTTTTTCTGATCACAAAACTATGATCTGTTTGTTGACTCTACAGATGGAAACAAACCAGGGAATATGGATGGTTATGTTGGTTTTCATGCAGCTTTAAGGCATGCTTACAGTCGGTTTATGAAGGATCTTGCTAAGCAGTGCAAGGAACTAGTTAGGCATCACCTTGATTCAGTAACAAGCCCATATTCATTGGTCTGTTATGAAAATGAATTTCAAGGGGGTTTTGGATCTAGTGCAGCATATATTTACAAATCCAACCCAGGCTCGGCTGGTTTGTTTTCACTCGAACTGTCCGATGGTGGGGCATCGGCTCAGGATGATGCAATGAGAGATCAGGAGAACAGGCCTCCAGAAAAGAGTGCTCTGCAGACTACTCCAGGGAAAGCTGCAGAAGCTAGAGAAGCTCTGAAGGAGAGCCAAATGACTGTGCCTGAGACCCCATCACCTGATCAGCCATGTGATATAATGCATGGTGGGGCTAAAGAGCTTGGAAACGGTGTTGACATCGGAGCAAGAAAGCGGGTTTCGAGAATGACAGGCCTTGGTAGAAATCCTGATCACATGAAAATTTCAAATGGCGGCCTTTTGTTTGGAAACCGGGATGGTGGGGCAAGATCAAGCTCGGCTTATGCAGAAATTTGTTCTTCGGCTGCACAGCATTTTTCACGGATACGTGGGGTTCTTGTGGAGAGAAACGTGACATCAGCTCTAAATTCTGGATTCTTAACACCATGGTAAGCTTCTTTTGATCTCTTAAAGTTTCACGTTCACAAAGCTGAGTCATTCACTGAAAATATACAAGTCCTTGATTCCATTTCTCTCTCTCTCTCTTTCTCAGTTGTATACTATTGCCTGTTACTTTCCACTGCAAGCCTTAAAGGGTTAAAGTTTCTTGTTCTTCATGTTTGTAGTCTTCCACTATTTTGTCCATTTTTGTAAAGGAGTCATTCTTGTAGTGGAATCTTCCTTTCTTTACAGCTTATAGGTGCAGCACTATACAGTTAATTTCTCCTATAATTGAAGCAAGTACTTAACAAACCCGCCTCAAAATGTTCACTTTAATTATTTCAACTTTCAACATATTCTTAGGAAAAAGCCAACTTTATTAACATGTAATTGATGTGTTCAAAATCTTTTTCTTCAATTGGTATGAGAGCTTCAAGCTCATTGTTTTTTTTTTCCCCACCTCCTACTTGAGCAGCCGGGATCGGCTTGTGCTGGCATTCGGTTTGGATTTGTTTGCCGTGAATGATGAGAAATTCATGGACATGTTTGTTGCACCTAGCGCGATCGACGTATTGCAGAATGAACGGCAGTCGCTTCAAAAACGTCAGAAAGTTCTTCAGTCTTGCTTGAACGAGTTCAAATCCGTTGCCCGGGCTCTCTGATGTAGATCAGTGTAAAAGGAGTCTCTAAGGTTTCACAGCTAGTGAACATAAGCAATTGGAGACCATTTTATTCATTTGCTTGCAAAATCTATGTTGTAACATTTGATGTGTGTAACAACTATGCTTTTTCCTAATGTTCAATTGCAGCTATTTTTTTTTTCTCTGGAATCTGTATACTAGTGAATCTTTCCCAAAAAATACTAACTATTGTGTTCTCTTATTTGTATACAACTTTTGGGCACATACAGAATGTAAGATTTAAGTTATTAAGCGGCCAACTTCAAAATACAGAGGGTGCGGATTTAGGAGACGTTTGGTTCATGAATTAAAATCATTTTCGATTTACGTGTATTTTTTATGAGAGAAAATATTGTAACGAATCATGAATCATGATTCGAATCGAGGTACGAATCCTCCAACCAAACAACCCCTTAGTCTTGTATTGTATTAAAAATAATAATAATTAAATTGTATTAGACTTCACATACTGACATAATTAAAACAAATTTTCATGACCTTGACAAAATATGACACCGCAACTGATTTTACATATTTGTATTTCGGAAAATTCTGATAAGATTTTGTTTTGGTTGCTTCCGATATTTTTACCAAAAATTTCCCGAAAATTTTTATGCCAAAAAATATTTGATTTGATTTGAGTTATAGTATTTTTTTTAATTTTTTGCACGTTTTATGCAATACAACTATATATATATATATTAATAAAAAAAACAAGTACAATAACCTTCTAATTTTACATCTTGAATTCTCTTTAAAAAAAATACATCTTTAAATTTCCATTCACTTCAAAGCAAAATACTACAAAGTTTCAAAAATTCAAAATAATTAAAAAAACAAAAGGACCTGTGGTAGCATGCATTCTACAAGTTTGGGAACCAAGCTAAATTTCAAATTTGAATACCCAAGTGCCAAGAATTTGAAAGTTTAGGGACCTATGGAACTAGAAAAAAGAAGAAAGCAACAACTCTTTTTTTACTTAATTTTTTTCTATAAATCATGTTTGGGGTCAATGGACAAATCCTGTTCATTTCGCCGATTCGAGTTTAGAATTCGAGTTTTGTTACAGTAAAAAGCTCTCAGGAACAGTCACATCTAATTTTTTTGTTACAGTAAAAAGCTCTCACATAAAATCACATTTCAACTTAAATTAAAACTTGAATTAGTGAACTAAACGGACCCATTTCGTTAAGAGTTATACAACGATTAAATTGACTCTTTATCTAGGGTAAAACAATGATATACTGAGAAAATATACAAATAAAAAAAATTGAAGATACGACTTTTGAAATAGGATTAAAAAAAAAAAAAAGAGGTTTTGATCATTTCTTGCACATATTCCCTACAATTGTGTGCTAGACTGCTAGTGTCAAATATTTCTAGGTTGCCTGATTTTCGTTGACTTGACACCATAAAACACAATCATGTTAACCTGGCCTGAATACTATTCCCCTTTTTGTTCTCTAGCTATTAAAAAAAGATTATGGTCTCGTTCACTTTGTTGATTCGAGTTTAAAATTTAAGTTTTTTTATAATAAAAAGCTCTCACAAACAATCACATCTAACTTTTTGCTACAGTAAAAAACTCTCACATAAAGTCACATCTCAACTCAAATTCTAAACTTAAATCAGTGAAGTGAACGAGTCATCTGATTTTTTTTGGTACGTGTGCTTATATATTGATAAATTGTGCATGTGCATGTTGATTAATTTTAAAGGTAGACTCAAAAGAAGAACTTTGGTTAGTACGAATTTGATGCTTTTGCAAACATTATTCATAATTAATTAAAATCTTTTTTTTATTAAATTAACAAGTAAAACAAAATAAATAAATAAATAAAATAGTACATATGCTTATAGGTTTATGGATTAATAGGAGGAAGTAGATATACTTTTTAGCGGAGCATATTCATAATAAAATATGGACAATAAACTAAACAAAAAGAAAGGAACTTTTAAGTAGGACATGTCCTTTTTAACCTTTAGGAGGTAATGTTGTTTTAATCACTTAATTAAGTTTTCAATGATCTGGTTTGTGATTATAGTTATTTGTTGTCGTGAAAACAAAAAATAAAATAAAATAAAAACTGTTTGCCTATTCATGAATATATATATATATTCATAAACCTTGTTAAGGTGTAACATGGGATGTTAGTGGTCTTCAATCTTCCACACCCATTGCCTCTAATCTCAGGGACCTAAAATCCAACAAGATTACATTTATTAACTTGCAATTACGTCCCTATTCCAGGTTGTATTTACTGATCACTATCCACTTTTTGCCTTTTCTAAGCTACATAAATAAAGTAACTAGATTCACTTTGGCGGACCTAGTCTATATATATATTTGACTGGTCTGCATCTTCACATACAAAAAGAGAAAAAAATGTTGCACCAGATACATCTACATAAATGACAAGTTATGTTGCAAAAGAATTCACCCGTTCTTTTCACTGATTCGAGTTTAAAATTCAAGTTTTGTTACAATAAAAAGCTCTCAGAAACAGTCACATCTAATTTTTTTGTTACAATAAAAAACTCTCACATAACATCACATTTCAACTCGAATTAAAAACTCGAATTAACGAACCAAACGGGTTTGTCTGGATTTCAAATTAATTTTACCTCTTTGTTGTAATTAGAGAAAGAAAAAAGTGACATTGTATACCACAACTGGTAATTTTAACTTTTCCAAATTGGGCGCGATTGCAAATTATTATATAAGAAATGCTAACACCATTGTTTCTGTCATTCATTGCATTCATTATTTGACATGTAGATTCTATTATATTATTTTCTATTTAAATAATAATATATCATGTTAGTGGAGTCTACATGTTAAACAATAAATGCAGTGAGTGACAAAGAGAGTGACATAAAAAAGTGATGCCAGCATTTTTCTTATATGTGTGATTTATTATTATTATTATTTTTAGAAGGGACCACAATTCTTATTATATGATAATTCTCAATAAATGGTTTTCACCACCGTCCTATTAGGAGAACTATATTTCCACGTTACTATATATTACGTGATAAGCTCTTCAAAATTGATGTTACATTTCTATAACGTTACTATTACATTAATCAAATGTCATGTTACGGTACTTCTACGCATTCATGAAAAAGAGGACTGTAAACAAGTCCAAATATATACATTTAAGAGGATTGTAAACAAGTCCAAATATATACATTTATATATTCTTTATTAGTCAAAATTGTAAATAAATGTGATTGCTTGAGGTCTATAGTTAGAAATTCGAATCCCTATCTGGTTCATATATTTATATTTTATGTATATATAAATTATAATGTTTCTCAAGTCAAGTATTATGGTTTGTCAAATTAGGGGCTGCGCATTTATATAAAATGTTAACAAAAATCATTTTGGTCCAAATTTGACTTAGCTCACTTGAAAACCTTCTTCCATAAAACTTCATCAAACAAAGAGAATTCAAAAACTTCTTTAATCAGCAAAATACATGTTAGAAGATTGACTCTACTTGCACTGTGTGAGAAGTAGCTACATTTTTCTAAGGATTAAGGTTGTAGTAAACTTTTAGCTATTATGCATTACTCAGTAGATAACAATAATAATAATAATAATAATAATAATAATAATAATAATTAATATTACATAATATTATCTTGTGAAAAAAATGCATCAACATTTTAAAGGAAATGGAAAACAATCTGATCTTGTTTCCAGTATTCACCCATGTTTTTGAGAGGTCCACCACAATATATATATATATATTAAAAATTAAAAAATTAAAAAAAAAAAACAAGATGGAGATGTTTTTATTTTCATGTTCTCAAAATGCTCATACTCCTTGGAAAGAAATATTCATTCTTTTGTTTTCAACTAGCAAACCAAGCACGTCTTTGTAAATTTTAACTTTTAAAACATGATTTAACCATATATTACAACTGTAGAGGTTTTTTAACTACAATTTTTAGTTATTAATTTCAAAATTTTTGTTCTAGAACTAAAAAATACAAGAAAAGGATCACAAAACCAATTGAAGTGTTAGAGTGACCAGGGAAATGATACTGCATGATTTGACATGAGTGACCAACAACTGTAAAAGAGTAATGCCAACAGAAAAAGACCAAAAAAGTTCAAGTGCAGAGGCCAAACATTCGAAGAGAAAAGAAACAAGTGCAAAATTGAAAGAAAAAGTTGTAATGAGTGTCCCGCATTGGGATCTTGAAACAAATAATAAAGAGAAAGGTTAGTGTAATTTTTTTATTATTTTTTTTATTATCTTTAATATTTATAATATGTAAGTTTTAATAATATGATATATTATTATTTAAAGATCATTATCACTGATACTCTTTAAATTTTATAAGCATTTTTAATTTATCCTTAAATTTTAAAAACTCTTATTTTATATTATGAATTTTGAATTATTTTTACTGTAGTAATTTTTGTTAAAAATAGATTAAAAAAAAATAATACAGTCACGTGGTCTTCTGCTTGAATTTACATTAAAAAGAAACATATAAAAATCACATGATCACACTTAACCTCTTCTTTTTCCGTCTAATTTTAATAGAAATTACAAGAACATATATTAAGTGAGAACAATTCAAAATTCAAGAAGTAAAATTAGAGTTTTTAAAGTTCATGAGGTAAACTGAGAATGACCCCAAAGTTCAGGAGCACCAATAAGAATAATCTATTATTTTAACATAAAATGAGATAATAAAGTGAACATGTTAAATAATAAATACAGAAAATGACAAAAAAAGTGATAGAAAAAGCGTCGTTAGTATTTCTTAATAATAAATTCAATTAGTCATTTTTCTAATTACTTGAATCAATTCCAAATTGACAGCTCGAACTCTAGCCTTATATGTATGTCTAAGTGCCCAAACGTTCCCCACAAATAAAAATATATGCGACTTTTTGTTTTTTTTTTTGTTTTTCGTTTTTTACCATTTTTTATTTGTTGTTTTGGGGGTTTAGAATAATAAAAGATTAATTGGTCGGATTTGTTGATGAAATCATGTGCCTAACCATTGACATTTGAAGGCGGACCCTACAAAGTAGGGGAAAAAAAACAAGAAGAAGAAAAAGAAAATAAAAGTAGGGAATTCTCAGCCAAAATTTGTCACTAACTACCAATGTTGCCACCTAATATTCACTTTGTTTATCCCTTTAG